GAATACTGACTCCTTCATACATAACATGGGTGCTCATTCTTGCACATAAACACAGAGATACACAGACAGACAGAGACAGAAAAAGCATCAGTCTTACATTTTTATCTGCCACATTGCTACTTTCCAATCTTCTAATGTATATTAATGAATCATTTCTGCATGAAAACTGACAGAAGGAATTAAAATTGAGTGTTTCACAATTCTTGATTGACTTTTGAACACTTTGAGGGAGTCCAAGGCTCTAGGCTGCTTGCACTACTGCTGTTGGTAAGACATGGTTCTGAAATATCAGGATCTGGAAGACACTGTGTGAAAATTCTCATAAGAGATGATCCTCACAGAGAAAGAATCTCAGGATTATGAAATATCAGAACTCTTCCTCAATCCCATCTCCTCCTCCAGACTTCCCAACTTTCCCTTTCATCCATGTCACCATTTTGTTTCATTAACCTCAAAAACCAACATCTTTCTTCACATTTTCAGTAAGAAAACATGGCATCTCACTGACTCTACCTACTTCCTCCCAGCTTCAGTTTAGTTTTCTCCACCTAGCTATATTCTGCCCTATCACAGGTTAAAGCGGTTTCTTTATTCATTAGTCAATAAAAGCAACACATATAAAGAAGGACTTCCCAAACTAATCTTCAAGAAAGATAGTCTGAAGCTTAAGTTCTAAAATACTGAGCAACCTCAGTGATGACTGTAACTGCTGCCATGATTATACTTGAGATGTCCCAGGACATTGACAAGGGTATAAATCAACACCAAGAATTCAAGAATCTAAAACCTTCTAAGAAGGAGGAAAACAAGAGATCAGAAAAGAGAAAAGTATTCTCTTCAGTCCTCAAAATTGCTTTATAATTGGAGAAGAAAGAACAAAATGAGGAACATGAAACAAAGCCATTAACTAGTCCCAGCTCTGCTCTGAGAAGCACATGGGTACTGAATCCAACTCAGGGAAGCGTGTCAGCTCCCTGTGACTGTCAGTGCCTTTCAGAGTTAGGAACAATTAACTGAGAATGTAATTGTCCATGTACCTGAAGGGAAAGAGTCACCAGTTCTGAGGCCAGGTGCCAAGAAACACACCGCCAGTGGATGGCTCATAAAGGTTAGGACACATACCATAGGGCCAGGTCAGTAGGAGACTCAGTACTCTCCATGTTTGCATATCACATGTAAAGGATGATCTTAGGCAATGTCTGCCTTCAGCCATACCAAATTACAAAATTGCACACTGACCTGTGACGTCAGTATAACATAGGGTCAATTAAACAGAGGTTCTTCTTCTGAATATAGCCCACTCAGAAGATACGAGAGGATAAAGGGAAATAATGTAAAAGGATAACTTACATTGTGATAGGACATGACAGGGCAGGGTAGACCAGGGCATAGAGCGATGGTTAATATTAAAGACCTTTTGAAAAAAACATGGAAATCTACTACTCTAAAATCTTACTAGAATAGTAATAATAATAATTTTATACATATATAAAATGTTTAATGCAGTTACCTTATTAATGGAAGGGGTGCAAAGCCAGAAGTAGATAACTCATACTAGCAAGTGCAAACCTCAGTAGCCGTAATACCTTACCTCATTTTAGTTTCTACCCAGTGAGGGCCCATAGACTGACTTCACTACCTTACAGAGTGTTGCTGGTAACTTGTCTACTTTCCAGAGCTTCATTGTAAGACCATATTTCTGTAGACACCAATGCTTAAGGCATAGAACATGGAGAAATCTAGAAGGTGCTTACCGAGACACTTCAGCTCTTCTGGCCAGCCCTTGTGATATGTATACTGCTGAAGGAGAAAAGTACTCACCAGCCTCATCCAGTTGTGAACACTGCAACCTACAACAAACCCTGGCTTGACAAGGTATGCCCACTGATGTGATAGTGGCATAAATGTATGGGAGCAATTGCCCACTTTCTGTTTGGATTTAAGGTCCTTCTCTATGGGACAAAGTCCAAGCCTAGCACTGGTAGAAAGGAGGGGATGTGTAGCTAGATAGTATTACTGTTCTGCTAAATAGACAAAGCAACACAGCAATAACCAATGGCTTCTTGCTATACTCATATCAATATATTACTCATTCCTCATCTGAGAAGCTTCTCCTCACTATAGATTATTAGCAAAGAGACCTGCAAGTGATAAATGGAGCTGCGAGTAGGAAACTAGTGTTTGCTTAGCATTGCCTCTCAGGGGAGATAGAAACTGTTTTCTTCACATAACCAGGCCATCGAACACTTGAACCCATAACTGCTGACACAGCATGCACAGTCATGGGAAAGTTCAAACCAGACCGAAACTCATCATGCAGGAGAGGTATGTATGAAATCCCACCACTAGCTGAGAAGTTATTAGCAGTTGATAGCTTCTGAGAGAAGGAATGTCAGCTTTCTTCAGTGTTACCCTTGCTATGTTGACCACACTCCATTGTCTAGAGTAGCTGGACTACACAAATGGAAATGATGGCAGTAAGAAGCAAATAAAAACTAAATCAAAGCTGGGTGCAAATGTGGGTGGGAGTAGAAGGAGAGGCACAGGGGATGGATGACAGATGTTGCTAAGCCTCTGAGTGAGGATCACTGAAATGCATTGGATAAACTTTTCAAAGAATTAATAAAGATGATATTTTGAAGAAGGCATCATATTGAATGACACAAGCAAGTCTGCAAAGACAAGTATCATGTGTTTGCTCTCCTCTGCTGATGGAATGGATGAAGGTGAATATACTCTATATGCATATATTTATATATTTTGATGAAATAATGAAACTATTTACTTTTTACAATGTATATGCTAATTACACTATTTTCATACTTGCGGCTACTAATTCTGGCAGCACTGGTACTAGAGTTAGAGCTGCTAAATCTCATTCCTGGCTGAGACACCAAAGGGGAGTTCCTTCCACGGAAGCTCCATGAAGAGCAGCCACATGTGATAAAAGTGCACAAGGCAGTTTCTCAAATGTGAACCTTCAAGACCAGAGACATGGAACACATGTGTGCACAGACATGAATGCACACACATCGATCCTTTCTAGACATCATCTATTATTATTATATTTGATTATTGTAGTTTTGTGATCTTTTAATGTAGATGACCCTGAATATAGCTTGCATATTTTTATCCTAATATTTAAGGATTTTTATGAGTCATATGAAAGACTTGAACATGAAATTCTAATATTTTCAAGCTCTTCCGTTAATTTAATATATTAATGTAATATAATCTATGCCATTAGAAAAAGTTCATGAAAAAATTAAAATCTATATTAACATATAACAGGAGGTTCCATGCAGGCCACTCATTCCTTTCCTGGAATCCCTTTCCCACATATTTCTACATTTAACAATATTTTGCTTGGCTTTTTTTTTGATGATGTTGTTGGTACTGGAGACTTTGTGATATTGATTATGGAAACAGTGATGAACATGAATATGATGTTCTTAGTGGAGTAATGGTAGAGAGGGTGGCAATTATAGCAGAGGTAGGCAGTGCCAGCTGATGTTGTAGCTTGTAGGGGTTGTGATAATGATTCTGGTACTGGTACTGATAATGGGGATGTTGCAGATGGAAGTGGGGATGGAAATGAGTGCAGTGGAAATGATGTGGATGAGCAGCTTCTAAACCTATCACTCACTTAATTAGTAATAATTATGTGCCTCCGATTATGCCACTCAAATAGCATGCATTAATTCAATTATGACCAAAGACAAGATGTTAGCATACTTAAGGAGTTTCTACAAGTGATATTAACAGGAAAATGTTCAACTCTCTAGCCAGTAGAGAACTGAAAACTAAACCTATGCCGAAAGACCATTCTACCCATGTAAGATTGAGTGCAATCAAAATGATAACATGTCCTGGCAGAGGAGGGGACGAAAAGAATATAAGCTGTCAGACTGTGAGAGAGGAGAATAACCCATCAAATATGGAAATCAGTGTGGGGTTTCCTCCAAAGAAACAACACTAAAGTAGGACTATCATATGATTCGCCAGCGTTACATGGGTTCATATGAAAAAAAGTCAATTATAGTATACATTAGAGATGCCTACATATCCATCTATGTTTCTGAACTACATCTAATAATGAAAGTTAAATAATCGGTCTCATGGCTCAATAGTGAATGAATGAGATAAGAAAATCTCCCACTAAAATGAATCATAAGGAACAATGATATCATGTACTCAGCAGGTAAATAAATGAAACTGCATGTCATCATGCTAAGAGAACTAAATCCAGTCTTAAATACAAGGTTGGCACTGATGTTTCAAATATTGAAGAGTGAAAATGTAACAAGGGCAGGTTGATGTAGATGTGTAAATATTACATCAGATGAAGGGGACAGTAAGGGGGAAATACATGGGAGTGTAAGGAGAAGATGTGTAATAAAGGACACACACATATCAGAGTATAGAATAATCTTCTAAAGATATCTCGTGCTAAAAAAGAGATCATAGTTGTGAAAAATGAAATCATGTTTCTCATAAGCAAACAGACAGACACTAAGTATCCTTTGTTGTGATCCAAAATTCAGTCAAAACTGATATAAAAATAACCTGGGAATCAAAGAATAAACGTAAAGGAATAGGAGCATATCAGGAAGGCTATGGAGTGGGTTTTAGGGAAAGAAGTCACATGAGTAGTATCAACCAGAATATACTTTATTCTGGAAATGAAGCCACAGTGACAACAACACAAACAAGGAGACTGAGAGTTTTGGAAACATCCTCTGAGTGCACAGGGTGGGAAGAAGGTGCTCATCACTGAGCATCTGGGACACTGAGCCAGTGAGGAAGGACCATTATAGTAGAAGCAGAACAGTCCAGGAGAATGTGTTCTCTATGAGGGGACATCACAGACACATGGAGAGAGAAGGGTGGACAAGATTCTGCATCCATGGCAGGCTTTGAACTGAGATGTAAATGTTTCTGTGGAAGTATGGGAGACAGAGTTCCTCCTCTTCTCTTGGTCCTGGTGACTGCAGAAGCACTCACTTGCTCTTGGGTGGGCTCTTCTGTTGGCAGGGTGAAGGAGGTTGCACAGGAGGGCATTTCTGCTGGCATGGCTCTGGGCACTGTGGAGGAGGACAAGGCTCAGGGCACTTTGTGGGTGGGCACACAGGAGGAGGCTGGCAAGGCTGTTTGCACTGCTGCTCTTGGTAAGACATATTGCTGAAGGCTCAGGATCTGAAAGACATTACATGACAGTGTTAGGGGATGATCATCACAGAGGAGATAGACAGAGACATGGAGCATCACATCCATTTCTCTCTCCACACATGCATGTATCCCCAGCTCCTCTTTTAGAACAACCTGGCTTTTCCCTTTCCTGTCAGCAATCTGTGCCACCTTCTTTGTGAGATATCATTTGTTTGATGCTTTTTTCCAGGAGAAAATATCTGTTCCAAATGAAATATAGGTGTTTCACAGAGAAACATCTTCAATACAGGAGTCTTAAGGTCTGAAGTCCTCGGCATCCTCAGAACAAATATCCCTGACTCTCCTATCCCTGTGACATACCAGCAGGTTGTCTGGTGGCAGAGTAGAGGACAGCTCAGGCAAACTGGGTCCTAATACCTGCTAAATTATAGGACTATGAAAAGACACCGAAGATTCATATGAAAGAGAAATACACTGTGTTCAATTGCATACTAAATAAAAGGAAAAACCATCACACACTAACCCTAAAACTTGACTGCAACACATAAGCAGAGCATAAAGAGAGACCAACTCAAGAAATAACACTCACCAGCTCTCCAAAGTAGTCTAGGATTTGATTACCAGGAGTCTGCAGTCATGCAGCCAAGGACCTCTTTATAGCACTGACTGCCCCGCCCAGAGGGAGTAGAGCTGACTGACAGGGGGCAGGTTCTTGAATTTCCCAAGCAAAATGTAAATCCATGCATGACTCGCTTGACTGGGACTCTACATCATGTGAAATATCCTGTGTCTGGACATCATCACTGTAGAGTGCTGTGGCTCAGTGGGCCCTCCTGTCTCTTTGGTTTCAGCCAGAATTCCCTGGTTGTCCAAGTTGTCTTTCTTGATTGAAGACAATATTTCTTTTTCCTGTTATTCCTCTCGTTTCCTGTTTGTTCTGACTGAGCTCACTGATACTCTTTGGTTCATGGCCCCTTTTTTTCCTGTTTTTAGGCAAAATTTGCCTGAAATTTGTGCTGACAGGTCAGTTTTACAGGGGACTATAGCTGTGCTTTCAGATTCATCTTTGACAAACCTGTTCTGAGGCACATGTCTAGTCTGCTGGATAGGTTTAAATCTTTTCTGTACCAATAGAAAATCAAATACGTTGTTCATAGAGAAGGGTGTGGGGCTTGAACCTTATCCTGACCCTAATCAGGACTGCCGTCTTCAATGACATATTTGTGGTATCTGCTTAGACTCCCCTCTAATGATTTTCATAGGGCTGCTTACCATGATGATAGAAGAACTAAAATTCTATCTGTCCTAATGCCTGCCCTAAGCATGTTCTTGCTTAGGTGGTCAGCATGAAGACTCATAATCTCCCACACTTCTCTTGTGTGAAGAGCTGTTGAGCCTACCTTGGTTGTGGTACATACCAACTGGAGCTCTGAGATCTCCCAAAACACAGAGTATACTGACTCCTTCATACACATGTGCTTATTCTTGTACGTGCACACAGATAGACAGACAGACACAGACTAAGGCAGAACATCAGTCTTACATTTTTATCTGCCACATAGCTGCATTCATCAGTTCCCGATTTTCTAATGTATATTAATGATTCATTTCTGCATGAAAACTGACAGAAGGAATTAAAATTGAGTGTTTCACAATTCTTGATTGACTTTGAACATTTTGAGGGAATCTAAGGTTCTGTTTGTTTAGGAGGAAGACAAGGCTCAGAACACTTTGAGAGTGTACAGAGCTATGGGCAGTTTTTGGTGGGCACACAGAAGGAAGCTGGTTAAACTATTTGCACTGATGCTGTTGGTTAGACATCCTGAAATCTCAGGATCTGGAAGACACTATGTGACAGTTCTCATTAGAGATGATACCCACAGAGAAAGAATCTCAAGTTTATGAAATACCACAACCCTTTTTCAATCTCATCTCCTCCTCCAGACTTCCCGACCTTCCCTTCCATGTCACTCTTTTGTTTCATTAATCTAGGAAACCAACCTTTATCTTCATATTTTTCGTAAGAAAACATCTTTCTTCCAAAAGACGAAGGAAGTGATCTTACAGAAAACATGATATTCAAGAAATGCAGTCTGAAGTTTAAGTTCTAAAATACTGAGCATCCTCAGTGATAACAGTAACTGCTGCAATCACTATTACTTAGGATGTCCCAGCAAGTTGACTAGGCTGTAAAACAACAGCCAGAATTCAAGAATCTGGAACCTTCTAAGAAGGAAGGGAAAAAAGAGTTCAGAAAAGAGAAAACTATTCTCTTTAGTCCTGGAAAGTTGGTTTGTAATTGGAGGAGAAAGAACAGAAGAAAGAACATGAAGCAAAGTTATTAAGTATTCACAGCTCTGCTCTGAGCACATGGGCATGGAATCAACATCAGTGAAGCGTGTCAGCTTCCTGTGCCTGCCAGTGCTTCTGACAGTAAGGTTGGGTTTAGCCAAGACTGCCCTTGTCCACGCCCCTAGAGGGAAAGAGTCATCAGTTCAGTACCTGAGGCCAGATGCTGACCAACACATGACCAGAGGATGATTCACAAAGGTTAGTACCCATACTACCAGTCAGGCCAGTAAGAGACTTACTACTCTCCATCTTTTCATATCAAACATAAAGGATCATCATAGGTCATGCCTGACTTCTGCTGTGTCAATTACAGCATTGCCTACTGACATGGGAAGTCAGTATAACACAGAGTCTGTTACATCTAGGTTCTTCCTTTGAATATAGTCCACTTAAAAAGGTATAAAGTGTTAAAGGGGAGTAATGCAAACGGAAGACATACTATGTGATGAGACACAGGAGGGCAGGGTAGATCAGGGCATACAGAGAAGGATGATTAACAGTGGTGTATGCCTTTGATCCCAGCACTTGGGAGGCAGAGGTAGGCGGATCTCTGTGACTTTGAGGCCAGCTTTGTCTACAAGGACAGGCTCCAAAGCTATACAGAAAGCCTATCTAAAAAAAAGCCATATGGAAATCTACTACTCTAAAAACTTACTAAGATATATACTTATGAAGAAATATGTTAATGGAGTTACCTTACAACCGGTACAATACCACAAGTAGATACCTTATACTGTCAAATGCAAACTTCAGTAGCAGAAGTTACTTTAACTTTTTTAGCTTAACTTTTTTAGTTGTTGGTCAGTGGGTCACAATAGGCAATCTCTACTAGTTTACAGACTATTGCCTGTAACTTGTCTACCCTCCAGAATGTCTATTCCTATAGACATCAAAGCTTAAGTCAGAAAACTTGGAGAAATCTAGGAGGTGTTGACCTGGCCATTTCATCCCTACTGGCCAGCCCACATGATATAGAAAATGCTGTGTACACTGCTGAAGAGGAAAAGAATTCACCAGCCTCAGTCATTACTGAACACTGCAAGGTATAAAAATGGCTGGCTTGAGCCGGGCGGTGGTGGCGCACGCCTTTAATCCCAGCACTCGGGAGGCAGAGGCAGGCGGATCTCTGTGAGTTCGAGGCCAGCCTGGTCTACAAGAGCTAGTTCCAGGACAGGAATCAAAAGCTACGGAGAAACCATGTCTCGAAAAATCAAAAAAAAAATGGCTGGCTTGACAGGATATGCCCACTGGTGTGACAGTGGCACAACTGGATGGGAGCAACCAACCACTTCTTTTTTGGACTTAAGGTCCTTCCCAATGAGATGAGGTGAACACCCAGCACTGGTAAAGGGGTGAGAATCTACTACTATATAGGACATAGGTCCTGGAGGATAATCCAATTAATATTATAACTCTCCTAAATGGAAAAATCAAACCAGTCATTTCTAGTGATTTATTGCTATACTTGTATTGATATATCTCTCAATCCTTATCTGATGAGCTTCTCATTGCAGTAGATTATAACACAGAGACCCTCAATTGATCTACAGTGTACAGAATGAGAGACTGTGTGTTCAGCATTACCCCCACAAAGGAATTGGCAGGAAGAGCATCAGAACTAGAGGCGGAAACTCTTTTCTTCACATAACTGGGCCATTCAATGTTTGAACTCATAACTATTGACAAAGTATGCACAAGTCATGTAAAACCTTACACCAGATGAAAGCTCAGCTTACATGAGAAGGAAAGTACGTAATTCCACCACTAGCTGTTGAGCAGTTGATAGCTTGTAAGAGAAGGAGTGTGATTTTTTTAATGATGTGAGCCTTGCTATGTTACCACACTCCAGGATAGACCCCACTGTCTAGAATAGTTGGCTACACAAACTGGAAATGATGGGGCACAGAGAAGCAAATAGAACAAAATCAAGTTTAGGTGGGAAGAGAAGGAAAGGCACAGTGAGTAGATAAGGACAGTTTTTGGTATCCCACTGAATGAATATCATTGAAATGCACTATATAAAATTATAAAAGAATTAATAAATATAATGTTTTAGAGAATGCATGCTATTAAAGGACACAAACAAGTCTCCAATGACAAGAATCACATGCTTACTCTCATTTGTTGAATGCAGTGGATGAGGGTGAATACAGTCCATCTGCATATATTTAAATATTGTGATGAAATCCTTTACTTTTACAATGATATATACTAATTACTCTATTTTCAAAATAGCAGCTACTAATTCTGACAGCACTGGCACCAGAGTCAGAGCAGCTGAATCTTGTTCCAGGCTGAGACACCAAAGGAGCATTCCTTCCCCAGAAGCTCCATGAGGAGCAGCCATAGATAAATAGGGTACACAGCGCACTTTCTCAAGTGTGAATCTTCAAGACCAGAGACATGGACAACATATGTTCACAGACATGGATACAAAGACAATGGTCCTTTCTAGATGCCATCTACTGTTGAGCTAAACATTTGATTCCCATAGTTTTGTGATCTTTTAAGGTCAGATGACCCTGAGTTCAATGTACTTCTTTTTATCCTAATTTTCTATAGGTTCTATGAGTCAAATGGCAGGTATGAACACAAAATTCTAATATTTTCTGATTCTTATTTAATTTAATGCTTTAATATAATCTAAACCATCAGAAAAATGTCCCTGGAAAAAGTCAAGATCTACACTAACAAATGAGAGAAGTAATAACAAACAGCAGGAGGTTTAACACAGGACTAACATTCCTAGACCGGAAACCCTTTCCCACACATTTCTACAGTTATCAAGATTTTACTTAGTATTTGTGATGGCATTGGTGAAGGTGGAGATAACATAATGGTCATGGAAATGGTGATGGACATGGTTATGGTGTTCTCAGTGGGGTAATAGTAGAGAGGGTGAAGTGATAGTGGAGGTAGGCAGGGCTAGCTGGTGTCATAGTTTGTAGTGGTTGTGATAATGATTGTGGTACTGGTGAAGATGATGGGGATGTTGCAGGTGGAAGTGAGTGCAGTGGAAATGATGGGGATCAGCAGCTTCTAAACCTATCACTTACTTAGTACTAATTAGGTGCTTCAGATTGTGCCAATCAAATGGCATGCATCAGTTTAATTATGACCAAAGACAAGACTTTAGCATACTTAGGAGATTCCACAAGTAGCATTAACAAGAAAATGCTCAACAACTTTAGCCATTAGAGAACTGAAAATCAAATCTACACCAGGAGACCATTCTAATCATGTAAGAATGAGAGCAATAAAAATAATAAGTCCTAGCACAGGAGTGGAGGAAAGAGAAGACAAACTCCCAGAGTGTGAGAGAGCAGATTAATCTGTCAAATATGGAAATCAGTGTGGGTTTTCTTCCAAAGAAATAACACTAAAGCAGAACAATCATATGATTCATAAGCATCACCTGGGTTCTTATGAAAAGAAATAAAATAAATTATACAATAGAGATGCCTGCATATCCATCTGCATTTCAAAACTATTTCTAACGTGCAAGGTAAGTAAGTCAACACAGCTGCTCACAAATAAACTAAGGGGTTAAGAAAATGTGGCACTTATGTATCCTGGAGCAATAATCAGTCATAAAGAACAGTGATATCATTTGGTCTTCAGGCAAGAGAACAAAACTCCATGTCATCAAGTTAAAAAACATAAATACACTCTTAAACACAAGGGTGGCTGGATGTTTCAAGTGTTGAAGAAGGAAAACGTAACAAGGTTAGGTTAATGTAGATGTGTAATTATTACATCAGATGAAGGGGAAAAGAGAAAAAATGGGTGAGGTGTGGGGAGAAAATGTGGCCTAGGTGACACATTCCATATCGAAAAATAGCATAACTTTCTTAAGATAGCATGTCAAGAGAGAGTTGAGCTTCCCAAAATGAGACTGTGTGTCTCTCAAGCAAACAAGCACTAAGTAATCTTTGTTGTGACCCAAAATTCAGTCAAAAGCTGATCACAGAAGAATAACTTGAAGAATAAAGAAATTTAAAAAAAAACACGAGCGTATCAGGAAGGTCATAGAGTGAGTTTTAGGAAAAAGGAACTCATGAGCACTATCAACCAGAGTGAACTTTATTCAGAAAATGAAGCCAGAGGAGCAATATCTCAACCAAGGTGACTGATAGTTTTGAAAACATCCTCTGAGAGTACAGACTGGAAAACTGCTGCTCAAAACTCTGAGAATCTGGAACACTGCACCTGTGAGAAAGGATCATTCGCAGCAGCCCCTTGACAGCAAAAGCAGAGCAACCTCAAAGAAATGCCTTTCCTATCAATGGTCATCACAGACACGTGGAGAATGAAGGGTAGACAAGATTCTTCTGCATCCATGGCAGGCTTTGAAGTGAGGATGGAAGTATTTCTGTGGAAGTATGGAAGACAGATTTCCTCCTCTTCTCTTAGTCCTAGTGACTGCTGAAACACTCACTTGCTCTTGCGTGGGCACTTACGCTGGCAGGGTGAAGGAGGTTGGACTGGAGGGCATTTTTGCTGGTATGGATGAGGGGAGCATGGCTCAGGAAACTTTGCAAAAGGACAAGGCTCTGGGCACTTTGGAGGAGGACAGGGCTCTGGGCACTTTGTGGGTGGGCACACAGGAGGAGGCTGGCAGGGCTGCTTGCACTGCTGCTCTTGGTAAGACATCGTGCTGAAATCTCAGGATCTGAAAGACATTACATGAGAGAGTTAGGGGTGATCCACATGGAGAAGACAGATGGAGGCATGGAACATCACATCCATTTCTCTCTCCACTCATGCACATATCCACAACTCCTCTTTTAGGACAGCCTGGCTTTTCCCTTTCCTGTCAGCAATCTGTGCCACAGTAACAACCTAATCCCCCTATGAATTCTGCTGCACAATTTCAACAGGGTAGAATTCCATAGGTCTTCCCAAATGTATGCTCTCTACATATATAAAAGGCAAATGCTCCTTTTGTGGTCCCAATTCAATTAAAATTGAAACTGGCTTAGGAGTTGGAGCATGACTCTCTCCTTCTCAAAACTCACACATATTTGTTAAAGGAAAATCCAAAACCTTAGTTTCGTGTTAGAAGAGCCACAAAGTATGGGACAAATAAAAACAAAAATATTTTTAATTGCCATTGTAATCTCATTATCTTTTGGTTTTTATTTGATTCTTTAACACTTTTATGAAGACATAAATATTATCTCAAATTTTATAAGATTTTAAGTGTGTATATATGCATATATATACATATACATAATCTCTGTCATGATATCAATCACTATTCTAGAAATAATCTCCATCTATCTTCCTGTACATCATTTCCGACTTTAGACTAAAGCAAGAACTAGGAACTAAGTTTTTGTAGCCTGGATATATTTAAGAATTGAAGTTCTTTCCCTGTTGGAGATCTGCTGCCTATGACCTTTACAATGTTGACATTTTCTACAGTGAACTCTGCTCATTCCTGACAGTGACCTATGATCTCCAAGGAAATGATAGGGCCCAGCAACAACAAATCTAAAAATACAAGCTATGATAGAAGAGGGCTATGTATAAAACTTTGGATTCATCGAGATAGGATAAATAATAGAGTATTTTCTCTTAATTTGCAAAATGTAAAGTTCAGGATATGGTAAATGTAATTCTTACCTGATAATTGTATTTATTGTATATGGTTTTATGGGTTAAGAGACAAAATCTCTCCTTTTTATTAGGGTAAAATGGGGTGAATGTTGCAGGATATTTGATCACACTCTGACACTCCAAGACTGTGGTAATAAAGTTTACCTTGAGTCAGGGGGCAGAACCAGCAACCAGTTGACAAAATTAGCCAAAGAGAATACAGAAGACCTAGGAGTCCAGTAGAAAGGGAGTAGGGAGAGACTGGAGATTTTTAGCCTTTTCTTCCGTCCATTAGGGTCTAGGAAGTGTGCAGAGGAGGTCAACTGGTCTCTCCTCTGCCATTTATTTGATCTATAAGGTTTTTACCCTAATATCCAACTCCCAAGTCTTTTCTGGTGATAGAACAACTAAGGTAATATAATATCAAACCTTTCATATTATTCTTTCTTTAGATTCTACCTACCCTCAAAGAAGTAAACGCCAATATACACAATTCTTCATTGTGCTTCCCTTCAAATTTTCGGACTGCTAACATTCATTTTGTGGTCATCACACTTACTCTATCCAAATTATATTTGATGCATGAGAAGACCATAAAAAATGACCACCAAGAATCAGATTTACAAGTTGTCATTAGTAGTTCAGTACCTGACAGGTCAGTGTGTTGCATTCAGGTATCCAAGGATGTCTTTAGAGCAACAATTTACTAAACAAAATGGCAATCAAACATAGCTATCGGAAACAAAGAAGGGTATGGCCTGTTCTGTACACCATTGCTTGTGAAGTTTTGTGACTCAGAGGCCCTTCCTTCTTGCACAAGTTCAGTAATTGCTGGCAGCAGGGGAAATAGATGAATCTTCTAACTTGTTTTGAAAATTTTTATTTCCTCTTTGACTATGCTGTTACATTCTGTTCTTCATCTTTACTGGGGATAAAAAAAAATTGTCAGTTTGAGCTGTTTGTCATTTTGTAGAATGCAGACATAACTACCCCATCATTGCATTTCTTATAAAATTGCTTAGTATGCTAGAAGAAGGAAAAAGTCAGAAGAAACCTCGTTTATAATCCTATATCCTTCTCTGGCAAGTCTCAGCTGGTTATTTCTACTCCCTGGGTTTAAGTCATTTTCCTTAACAAACAAAATATTTAAAAGCATCTGCTTCACATAATGACAGACAATAGCCTCATTAAGCAATTTCTCTACCACATGTGAGTCTGAGAGATTCCGGAGTTGACCTGTGTGCCCTGCATCATGGGTTCTTTCCTCTTACCACTGACACAGCAATGCTGAGCTCTCATGAGACAGTGTGACTTCAGAGTGACCCTCAGGCCCTTCAGCTTTTGTCTCCTTACCCCCAGAGAGGTATCCTTGTAGTACTCTTTAATATTTACAATGATTAAATTAATTGCCTCTTGAAGAAAACATGAATTATCAAATAAAAATCACATGGATACATAAAAATTGACTTACAGATCATAACTCTGTGGTCCTTTGTGAGGCCCTATACTGCCAGGAACATGTGTACATGATTCAGGGTAAAACTGAGGAACAGAGAGCTTCAGAGAAGGAAAAAGATCTCAGATGTAGCTATATAGTTGTTACTTACAGTTCTATGTCATTCTTTGTACAAATACCCAAATTTGGGAAAGAGTATTTTTAATATCTGTTCTCATACAGGGTAACACTGTTTTTCTCAATAGGCTCTCTAGCTTATGACTCCACATCAGAGATTTCCTAGACAGAGCCGCGCTGTGCCTCTGAGCTGAGTGATTTAGTTGCAGTCCCCCACTGAAGACATGCTCTCAGTACATATGCAGGCCTTGTGCTTCCCTAACCCTTATGCTTTCTTTCAGTCAGGGGCCTGGTTGGAAACAGCACAGGTGATGTTTAAAGTTATGTTGCTAGAGCTCCCTTGACTGGAAAAAGCAATTGTGAAGGCTCCTGAGAAGATGCTTTCTACTTAGAGGGGAAAGAATAGAATGAGGAAGATGAAACAGAGTCTTTAACTGGCCCCATTCTGCTCTGAGAAGCACATGGGCATGGAATCAACATCAGTGAAGCGTGTCAACTTCCTGTGCCTGCCAGTGCTTCTGACAGTAAGGAAGGGTTTAGCCAAGACTGCCCTTGTCCACGCCCCTAGAGGGAAAGAGTCATCAGTTCAGTACCTGAGGCCAGATGCTGACCAACACATGACCAGAGGATGATTCACAAAGGTTAGTACGCATACTACCAGTCAGGCTGGTAAGAGACTTACTACTCTCCATATTTGCATATCAAACATAAAGGATCATCATAGGTCATGCCTGATCTGCTGTGTCAATTACAGCATTGCCTACTGACCTGGTAAGTCAGTGTAACATAGAGTCTGTTACATCTAGGTTCTTCCTTTGAATATAGTCCACTTAGAAGGGTATAAAGTGTTAAAGGGAATTAATGCAAAGAGAAGACATGCTTTGTGATGGGACATGAGAGGGCAGGGTAGATCAGGTATATAGAGAAGGATGATAATCATTAAAGACCTTTCAAAAAAGCCATATGTAAATCTACTACACTGAAAACTTACTGAAGATATACACATATAAAGTGTTTTAATGGAGTTACCTTACTGTTGCAGTTGGTGCAATACCTCAAGTAGATAGCTCATCTTAATAAACGGGAAGCAGACAAGATCACCTGACAAAATTTGGGAGCATGGTTTTGGGGATAGAAGGAATGGGAGAAGAGGAAGAGGGGGAAAGAAAGGGAGGGTTGGGCAGACCTTGAGGGAATGGGATAGTCGAGATGATGGAAGGACAGATATGAGATCAAGGAAAAACATATCTTGATTGAAGGAGTCAGTTTGGGGATAGCAAGAAACCAGGCTCTAGAAAAAAAAATCCCAGGAACCCACAAGGATGACCCTAAACAATAGAGGAGAGGGTGCCTGAACTGGCCTTGCCCTGTAATCTTAAATATCACCATAGAACCTTCATCCAACAACTTATAGAAACAGAGGCAGAGACCCACATCAGAGCACTGGACTGAGCTCCCACGATCCAGTTGAAGAGTGGAAGGAGGGAGAATATGAGCAAGGAGGTCAAGACCATGAGGGGTTCACGCACTGAGACAATTTGCCTGAGCTAATGGGAGCTCACCAACTCCAAGAGGACTGGGAATGAATGAGCATGGGATCGAACTAGTCCCACTGAATGTGGTTGACAGTTGGGGCTGACTGAGGGGCCAATGACAACGACACTAGAATTTGTCTCTACTGTACATACTGAATTTGTGGGATCCTGTAATCTTTGGATGTATACCTTACTCAACCTGGATGTAGTGGGAAAGGCCTTGGACTTTCCACAGGGAAGGGTGCCTTGCCCTCTATTATTAACATTGGAGGGGGTGGGGAGAAAGCATGTGTGGAGAGAGTGGGAGGGGAGTGGGAGGAGGGGAGGAAGTATAAATTTGGATTGGTATTTTTTAAAGTAATGAAATAAAATAATAAGAATAATAAAAATACAAATGCAAAACTCATTAACACTCACAGCTACCTTCTCTTTAGTTGTTAACCAGTGGGGTCTCATAGACTGAATTCACTTCCTTACCCGCTATTGCCTGTAACTTGTCCATACTCCAGAACAATATGCTAAGACCCCATTTCTATAGACACCAATGCTTAAGACAGACAACATGGAGAAATCTAAGAGGTGCTCACGAACAATTCATGTCTATTGGCCAGCCCTCATGATACTGTAAGGTGCTATGTACACTGCTGAAGTAGGAAAGTACTCACCAGCCTTACCCAGTTCTGAACACTGCAACTTACAACAGTGACTGGCTTGACAAGATATGACCACTGGTGTGACAGTGGCACAAACGAATGGGTGCAACCAACCACTTTCTGTTTGGATTTAAGGTTCTTCTCTGAGACAAAATGCATACCTAGCACCATTAAAGGGGAGAGACTCTGTAGCTAGGTAGGACATAGACCCTCAAGGATTATCCAATCAATGTTATTATTCTGCTAAATGAACAAATCAACCCAGCAATTCCTAATAAGATTGCCACAGTA